TCCTGGCACCTCCCAGCCCCTGCTCCTCAGGAAGGAGCCACAGCATCTCCTGCCACAGCTCCTCCCTGCCAGAGCCTCTCCAGATCACAGCCAGGATATCAATCCATGTGGCATTATGGACCTGCTCCTGCTGATGGATAGCCTGGAGTCCAGAGGCAAACCCACTCCATCCATCCCGTCTGTCTGGGCCACTGGCCCAAGCCCCACTGGCTGCTTCTGTCCCTCCATAACTGTTGGGAAGGATGAAAGTTTGACAAGGAAGTCTCACAGATGCTTGGCAGAAAGATTTTTAAATGTTGAGTCTGATGAAGGAATAGAGATGGAAGCAAGTTTTGATAGAGAAGTAAAAAATTGCTGAGCCAGTCTCACTGGATAACCAAGGAGACAAAGGGTGTGTTAGTTAGAAGGGGTTTTTATGAATTAGAGCAAAGGATAAACCCACCCCAAACAAGAAGATGCTTTTACCAAGCACAAAGATAGCACAGGCAAACAAGTAAGTAGAAAAAAGGTCTCAGAATTTTCCACTGCAAGAAAACTGAAAAACAACTTCCAGCTTAAACTGTAATGTACTGACTTTGAGTGATTGGAGAACAGTAACATGAATATGGCAATTACAGTAGTTATGATGGGCTAGAGATAAAAGTTAAGGTATAGATTGGTTCTACTGTATGAAGATGCTCAGCAAAGAAAAGTTAATAATTCATTGTGACCAAAAGAAAAGTATATAATGCATTGTAACCTAAACTAAGGGTCTGCAGGCCTGCCTGCAGCTGGGGCTGACAGCTGTAGGCACAGCTCTGTCACCCACAGAGACCCTGGACTGCTGTAACATCTTGGATGCAATAAACTGCATTTTGGATACAATAAACTGCATTTTGGATAAAATAAACTGCATTTTGTATACAATAAACTGCATTTTGGAGAGCCACCTGGAGTCCTGCATCTCTCATTCAGGCTCTTACACATAACCTGTCAGGAAACACCTCCTGTGTCCATGGAGGAGCTTCCCCGTGTGCCTGAGGCTTCCCTGTGCCCTGAGCTCCCAGGGCTGGTGGGGCTGGAGCGGGAAGGTGGCACAGGGAATGGTGATGACACAGAATGATGACACATGTGAAAAATGCATGTATTTTATGATTGGGTTTTTGCAAATATTCAAATGAATATTATATGTGTTGTGTTAGAAAGTAATGCTGTATTAATTCTCTTAAGTACTGTGTTAAATATAGTTTTAGGTTCTAAAAATTGTTAAAATAGAAATGATGCTATGTAGGATACTTTTTCTAAAGAAAGGACTCACAGTGAGATAGCAGCCACAGGACACCTGAATCTTTCAGAGAAAAAGAATTTATTGCTCCATTATCAGAAGAAATGAACTTCTTCCCACCTCAAAGGCGCTGTTAGGATTCAGAGGAAGAAGTTCTGACCTGACAGAATCCTGTATTTGAATGGAATTTTTGCATCATGTATGAAGTGTATGAATATGCAACAGGCTGTTGCTTTTAAGGGTTAATCCTCTGTTAATGTGGGTCTTTTTCAGGCTCATGATGCCTAGAAAAAGGTACCCAGACATCTGCAACTCTTTGTTTTTATTGTCTCATATTGTCCTCATTCAATTTGTCCAAATTGTTATTACTCTAATTGCGTTACTATTTTTTTTAAACCATTTTATTACTATTAAACTTTTAAAAATTTCAAAAACAAGCGACTGGCGTTTTTCACAGCACGGAATGGTGACCCCTCGGCTGTGCGCTGCTCTGCCTGCAGGCTGGGCAGGGTTGCCATGGTGATGGCAGCTCCCGAGCCTCTGCAGAGCCCATCCGGCTCCAGGGACACGCTGGGATGCCCAAGGACACCTCGGGATGCCCAGGGCACATCCCAGGGCCGGCCCTGCCCCCGCGGCCGGGCTGTGTCCCAGCAGGGCTGGGCTGCACTCAAGGACATTCCTGCTGCTCCCCTGCCAGGCAGGAAGATTTCAGGAGTGATTTCCATGTGCAGCTGTGCCGGGCTGATAAAATGCCACGGAAATGTGGCAGTAAATTACAGTGACAGCAGCCATCATCTGCAGAGCCCGCACGTGCCGCCTGCCCGGGCTTTCTTCCCCGAACAAAGCTCTGCTCTGCACAGCTAATGAGCCTGTGGGAGCCTTTCCAAGGGCAGCAAAAGCAGCACAGCTTCATGGCAGCTTTTTTTTTTCATTTTTATTTGCATGATTAACACAGAGCTGTTCCATTTGCATTCAGGGTGATAATCACAGAGCTGGCAGGAGCACAGGTACAGCAAATAAACCCTAAAGCAGCACATGAAGCAACCTCAGCTGGGGCTCCTGGAGTGACCCTTTGGTGTGATGTCCCTGTGCCATATGGGGTTTGTGACACTGGACACAGCTCTCACTTGCTGAATTCTCCTGGAGCCAGCAAGTTGCCACGGTTAAATCACATCACATCTGCTCACTGACTGTGATGGGGCAGAAGGAAAATTACAGCCTGGGATCTCACTGACATTTTGCCATGGAAAAAAAAGGAGCCTGAAAGATAAATCTAAAGGTGAAGACATCCCAGAGATATGGAACAAAAGAAAGTAAAATTATCTATTTAAACTAGAAGTCAGTTTTAATTCAATTGAACCAAACTGGTAAGCACCATTACACAAAGGCAGCAGCCCTGTTGGGAGGGTTAAGGGTCACTGGATGATGAAGCTCTCCAGATAATTTGAGTCCCTTCTGGAGAGCCTCGTGATTTGCAGAGCCACAGAATACACATCATTAAAAAAAGAGCTGCTAAATGTGGATTCTTTCACTTACACCCATTCCTGTGCAGAGGAAAACACCCCTGGGCCCCAGGCTGGGATCAGCTGCTCTCACATCTGTCACACAAGTGCCCATTGTCACCACACCACATTTCATCTCCTCTTGTCTTCTCCTTTTCCTAAATTACAATTTAAGGAACTCCAATGCAACAGAAGGCTGAGTTATTTAAAAGAAAAGCAAATCCTTCTAGATGTGCTCACAGTTTGTCTCCCTCAGCCTTTGATGCTCACAGGCAAAACTACAGAAGGAAAAAAGAGCAAGAATTAAATTTCCCTGTGAGTTGTTAATGAACAATTGAAAGCAAGTTGAGAACAGAAATGACAGGCAAAATTGCCTTGATGCTTTCAGAGCTCAGAGAAGGCCTCATCAGATCCCTCCTCATTGATTTTTGATTTTTGATTGTACCTTTTCCAGCACTGCCCAGCCCCATCTGCCAGCAGCAGAGCCAGGGAGGGATCCCAGCCAGGGCTGGAGCAGAGTTAGCAGGAAACAAGAGAAACACTGAAAATGGAGACAAAGTCAAGCTTTTGTCAGGTAGATATAACACTGTACAAGGTCTCTAATCCATACCTACAGATACCAGCTCAACACCTTCTCTTAATAAGCATTTAATAAGAATTTCATGATTCATTGTTTTTGGTTTAGCTGTGAGTTCCAGGACTCTGGAAAGCTCCTCTGCATCCCCTTGCCAGCACCAAGAACCTCCAGTGAGTGAAAGCAGAGAGGGTTCAGCTGCAGGGAAGGAGCTCCAGGAGGACCCAGATTTCTCCAGAGCCCTCAGAACCTTGAACACTGGAGAAGGAGTTTGTCTTTTATGATCCTTTATGAGGTAAGTTAGAACTCCCTGGAGATTTAACACAGAAAAATAACAAAAAGATGCCTCCATGTCCTGCTCCACTCCTCAGGTAGAGTCATGTTGGTGCCTCCCACCCCAGGGAGAGCAGGACACAGGGCAGGGAGGTTTGTGAAGCCACAGGACAACATGCACCAGCATTTTAATTTCCATCATTTCTGCTGATTGTGGCAACAAGGAAACCTCCAGAAGGTGTAGAAGTTATTCTACACCTGATGCCACACAAACCCACTGCAGAAATCCCTTTGTGGAGCAAAGGAGTTGATCCATTACACCTAAGCAGGCTATTGACCTTCCAGAGGCAAAAAAATCCTTTGCCCTGCTGTCTTTGACGCTGAGCCCACTCCAGATCCCAGCCCAGACAATGTAATTCTGGAGCTGGCAGCAAACTCACAGAACTGACAAGCTGCTGTTCAAATTGTGCCTCTCACTGGATTTATCTGAAGGAGGAGCTTGGAGTCACTGAGCCATGATCTGCTCCCACAGCAACACAGCCTGGGGCTCTGAAATTATTCTCCAATTTCCAAAAAGGTCACCCCTCAATTGCTCCCTGGTTTCATGTGAAAGCTGGAGTCACCTGGGAGCAAGCAGTCCCCTCTGCAGCTTTGTTCCACAAGGAGCTCATTAGCTCACCCTGGGTTAGAGCTGTGGCCCTGGGACCTCCCTGAAAGCATCCAAGGGGCTCCAGGCAGGAAATTCCTCCCTAGAAGCCCTGGTGAGCACGGGGGAAGCACAGTTAAGGATCCAGGAATGTCTCCCAGGGGCATGGGAGCCCCAAAGATCAGCCCAAGAGAATAAACCAGATGGAAAAGTGGAAGGAAAGTAGGAGAAGATGTTGAGAGTCCAAGGAAGCTCAGCACCACTACATGCTCAGAACAGGGAACAAAACTCTGAACCACAAAGCTCAGAGAAAGGCAGGGCCTGCACCCTCCACAGCCTGAGCTTGGCCTTTCCAGAGAAACTCACTGCACACAAAAGGTGCAGAATTCCCTACTAAGGACAAACCATTCAAGAGAACAACCCTAGACTTGATCATCCTGGTCAAACTGATTGGGTTTCCAGAGAGACCTCGGTGGGTTGGAGGAAGAATGTTCTAGATAAGAAATAATAAACAACCTTGAGAATGAGAACAGAAGAATCCTGACTCCTTCTTCGGTTGCTGGGCTGGGAAAAGAGACTTGTATGTGTTTCAGAGTCACTCTGAGCAGCAGAGATTCTGAGAAAGGATTTTTCAGAAAATTTGATAGTGATAATGAACAAACTTTTAGGTGCTACAGCTCCCACCACACCAAGGCTCCAGAGAGCACCATAGAAAGAGCCCTAAAAATATCCAGCACCAACCAAATCTGGAATCTGTGCAACAGCTGAGGCAGAAAGGAGAGCAAGGGTGGTTTAAAGAGCTTGAGCTGAGTTTATGGGGCAGTGGAAGCTTTACCTTCTGCAGGAAGAGGACGATCCTGACGAGCATCTTGGCGTGCAGCTCCTCCAGGGTGAAGAGCGTGCGCGGCGTGCGGATGAAGAGCTTGGTCTTGCCGTAGGCCACGTCGTGCTGGAAGCCGTGGCACTCGATGAGCTTCCTCACTGCCTCCTTGTCTGAGGGCAGGTCGTGGTTGGGCCAAGTGAATTCTGAGATCATCTTGTACCTGCAGTGAAAAGGGACC